CTGCAACCTCCACCTCCTGGGTTTGAGCAATTCTCCTGCCTCAGCCTCCGGAGTAGCTGGGATTACAGGTACACAGCACTATGTTCAGCCAATTTTTATATCTTTAGTAGAGAGGGGCTTTCACCATGTTGGCCAGGCTGTTCTCGAACTCCTGACCTCAAGTGATTTGCCCACCTTGGCCTCCCAAAGTACTGGGATGACAGGCCTGGCCCAATGTCTGCTTTTTAATCTCAAGATGGAAGAGGTGGTGGATACTGGTAATACCCAATATGGGCTGATTGATTGAGATTTTTGGTCATGAAATCCTTGCTTAAACCAATGTCTAGAAGGGTTTTTCCAATGTTATCTTCTAGAATTTTTATGGTTTCAGATCTTAGGTCTAAGTCCTTAATCCATCTTGAGTTGATTTTTGTGTAAGGTGAGAGATTCTCTTGTTCTATACGTGGCTAGCCAGTTGTCTCAGCACCATTGGTTGAAAAGGGTACTCTCCTCACTTTATGTTTTTGTTTGCTTTGTTGAAGATCCATTGGCTGTAAGTATTTAGGTTTATTTCTGTGTTCTATCTTCTGTTCCATTGGTCTGTGTGCCTATTTTTGTACCAGTACCTTGCTGTTTTGGTGACAGTGGCCTTACAGTATAGCTTGGAATCAGGTAATGTGATGCCTCCAGATTTGTTCTTTTTGCTTAGTCTTGCTTTGGCTATGTAAGCTCTTTTTTGGCTCCATATGAATTTTAGAATTGTTTTTTCTGATTCTGTGAAGAATGATGGTGGTATTTTGATGGGGATTGTGTTGAATTTGTGGATTGCTTTTGGCAATATGGCCATTTTCACAATATTGATTCTATCCGTCCATGAGAATGGGATGTGTTTCCATTTGTTTGTGTTGTCTATGATTTATTTCAGCAGTGTTTGGTAAATTGCCTTGTAGAGTTCTTTCGACTCCTTGGTTAGGTATATTCCTAAGTATTGATTGAGGAGATTTTTGGCAGAGCCATTTCAGCATCCCTAAAGGGATGGGGGATGGGGAATCCAAGGATTACTCCCTAAGACTGGCCAGTGTTAGACACTTGCTGAAGGCTTCTTGATGGACAGCCAGGTTCTTCTTTTTTTTTTTTTTGAGACACAGTTCTGTTACTGAGGCTGGAGTGCAGTGGCCAGTGGCATGATCTTGGCTCACTGCAACCTCCACCTACCGGGTTCAAGTGATTCTCATGCCTCAGCCTCCTGAGTAGCTGGGATTACAGGTGCATGACACCACACCTGGCTAATTTTTGTGTTAATAGTAGAGACAGGGTTTCACCGTGTTGGGGCCAGGCTGGTCTCGAACTCCTGATTCACCCACCTCAGCCTCCCAAAGTGCTGGGTTTACAGGCATGAGCCACACCGCACCCAGTCTGGACAGCCAGATTCTGAGCACTAAGCTAGAAGCAAGGAATGACAGCACCCAGACCTTGCCTCTCCCAAACCTGAGGCCACATAGTGCCAGCTGTTCCCCGATTTTGAATTCAGTATCTTTTTGCTTTTGGCATTTCAGGTGCCTCCTTGAGAGGCAAGAAAGCACCAAGCATAAGGAATGGTCAGGCAGGCTCCACCTCCCTCACTGGAGGAAGGGACTGACCCCTCTGGGAAGAGGCCTCAGAAGAATGTGCTGCAATACAGGAAATACCATTCTTTGCTTGTGTTTTTGTCATTTTGTTTTGTTTTCTTCTCTGTTAGATATCACACATCATCAGAGAGATACGCCAGTTCCAGCAGACTTCCTACAGAATAGATCATCAACCAAAGGTAATATTATGTGGCTGTGAAGGAATTAATAAAGAAAAAAAGGGGGAATTAGTGAATTAGAAAACAACAGTAAACGGTGATTCAAAATACCAAAAGCTAGCTCATGGAAAAGACCAGTAAAATAGAAAATTTTGGCAAGTCTGATTAAAAATAAATAGATAAAAATTTAAAAAAAAAAGAACATCAGCTTATCATCAGGTTCTATTGATTTTACATCCTGTATTTCTTGTGAATCTGTCCCTCTTCCATTTGTCTTCACTGCCACCACCCTTGGTTCAAGCTGCCAATATCTGTTGCCTGGTCTACTTGCATTCACTCTAGAATGCAAAGTTCATTCTAGAAATTACAGCTAGATAGAGCCCTGTGAAATGCAAAGTGGATTATTTTCTCCCTTACATAAAACATTTTCTTGGCTTCCCGTTGTTCTTAGGATAAAAAAAAAAGAATCTTTGTCATGACCATGAAGTCTCATATTATATGGCCCCTACTTGTTTCTTAAGATTCAGTTCACATCATACACCCCCTACCGTCTCCATCCCAGTCACAAATGGTCTTTTACCCCCATTTTTGAATAGACTTTTCTTTTTTAGGATAGTCCAATTCATAGAAAATTCACAGAAAAATTGAGAAGGTAGTGTGTAGAGAAAATTCCCATATACCTCACCGCCAATGTCCCTATTATTATCTTACATTAGTATGATGTGTTTGTTAGACTTAATGAGCCAATACTGATGCTTTTTTTTTATTTTAGACAGAATCTCGCTCTGTCGCTAGGCTGGAGTGTAGTGGTGGGATCTCGGCTCACTGCAACCTCCAACCCCCTGGTTCAAGCGATCCTCCTGCCTCACCCTCCCAAGTTGCTGGGACTACAGGCATGTGCCACCACGTCCAGCTAATTTTTTGTATTTTTAGTGGAGATGGGGTTTCACCATGTTGGCCAGGATGGTCTCAATCTCTTGACCTTGTGATCCACCTGCCCCAGCCTCCCAAAGAGCTGGGATTACAGGTGTGAGCCACCGCGCCCAGCCTGATACCTTATTATTAACTGAAGACCATAGTTTATTCAGATTTCCTTATTTTTTCCCTAATATCCTCTTTCTGCTCCAGGATCCCATCCAGGACACCACATGTCATCTAATTGTCAAGGTTCTTTAGGCTCCCTTGGTTGTGGTGGTTTCTTAGACTTTCCTTATTTTGGGTGGCCTTGACTGTCTTGAGGAATAGGGTCAGGTATTTTGCAGGATTGCCCGCTGTTGAAATGTGTTGGATGTTTACTCATGGTTAGACTGGGACTATGGGTTATTGGAAGGAAGACCACAGAGGTGAAGTGCCATTTTCATCACATCCTATCAGCGATTATATTATCAACATAATTTATGACTGTTGATGTTAGCTTGAATCGCCTGGCTAAGGTAATGGTTGCTGGGTGTCTCCACTGTAAAGTTACTTTTTTTTCTTTTTTTCCCATCATGTATTCTTGGGAAGGAAGTCACTATGTACAGCCCACACCTAAGGAGTGGAGAATTATGCCTGCCTCTTCTTGAGAGTGAAATATCTACATAAATTCCTTGGGATTCTTCTGCTCAAGAGATTTGTTTCTTCTCTCTATATTAATTTATTCAATCTTTTATTTACATCCATATGGACTAATGGATTTGATACTTAGGGTCGTCATCCGCTAATATTTTATTCTATTGCTGAAATTGTTCCAAGCTTGGCCATTGGGTCCTCTTTCAGTTGACTTCTTTGTCATACCCCAATCCATGTGGGGTTTTCCCTTTTTCTTTTTTAAGGACTTTCTTACTTTCTGATAATATAAGATGCTCCAAGCCAGGCACGGTGGCTTACGCCTATAATCCTAGCACTTGGGGAAGCCAAGGCAAGAGGATGGCTTGAGCCCAGGAGTTTGAGCCCAGCCTGGGCAACATAGTCAGACCTTGTCTCTACAAAAAAATTAAAAATTAACCAAGTGTGGCTGAGTGTGGTGGCTCACACCTGTAATCCCAACATTTTGGAAGGCCAAAGCAGGTGGATTACCTGAGGTCAGGAGTTCAAGACCAGCTTGGCCAACATAATGAAACCCTGTCTCTACTAAAACTACAAAAATTAGCCAGGCATGGTCACAGGTATCTGTAATCCCAGCTAATCGGGAGACTGAGGCAGGAGAATCGCTTGACACCAGGAGGCAAATGTTGCAGTGAGCTGAGATCCCACCACAGCACTCCAGCCTGTGCACTCCGGCCAGGGCAACAGAGCAACACCCTGACTCTGGGCGGGGGAGAAAAGATGCTCTAGACTCATCTTTTATATTTTGCTCCATTCCTAGAATCAGATATTTCTGCCAAAAGCTCTAGTTCCTTTTTTTTTTTGGAGAATGGTTTCAGCAACCAAGACATAGGCTCTAGGTATGCTTGTGTTATAGAGGTATCATTTCTTTTAGGCCCCCTCAGCTGACAGAGCACAGGAATCCATGTGTGTATACCATCCTGTATATATATATATGCACATATATATATGTGTGTGTGTGTGTGTATATATATATAAACTATATATATGTATATATATAACCATATATACACACGTATATATAGGTTTACCCATATATATGTATATATACACATATATGCATATGCACACATACATATTTATAAATGTCTTTATGTAACCATCAGTATTTGTATTAATCTAAATATACAGATGCCCCCAACTCTATTCGGTTACCATGTGAATCATACCAGCCCTCTCCCCACATTTGCTTATCTGTAAATTCTAGGTTTTGCCCTATTTCTGTTTGCCACAGAGCCTTTACCTATGTTCTTCCTTCTGTCTGGAGTGCCATTTCTTCCTCATTTCATAGTTTACTTGTACACAGCTTAAGTATCACTTTCTCAGAAAGACTTCCCTAGCTTTCCCAAACCCTGCTCCACTCTTTCAAGGTTGTATTGCACCATGTCCCTCTCCTTTCTAGCACTTACTGCTTGAGTCGCCATTTAACATTTATTTGTGTGATTATGTACACATGCATGATATCCCTGAGGGTCAGAGCCAGACTTACTGTGTTTATTATCATAGCCCCAGCATCTTGCCCAGTGCCTGGACATGTTTCTTGAATTAGTTAATACAAGTCAGGAAAAAGACAAGGTTATGACCATCACTGCTACTATTCATTTTCAAGCAGGAAAAAATTCACCTTGGCAATGAAGCAAAAAAAAAAGAAGCAAAGGGCATAAAAATTGGAAAAGTAAAGATAAATACTATAATTCGCAGATGATTTGATCTAGAAAATCCAAGAGAAATTCAAGAGGAAATCCAGGAGAAAAACTGATAAATTATTAAAGGAGTATAACAACTTGACATGCAAAACCCAACAATTTTCAATACATTGGCAATAACCAATTCAAATACAATATAAATAATCTCAATCAAAATAGCCACAAAATCTGTAATGCCTAGGATTCAGTGGAACAGGAAATATGTGAGACTTTTATGTACTGAAGTACATAAGGAGAGAGTTGTATCATATTCATGGATCAAAACACTTGCTATTGTAAAGAGGTCCATTAAACTCAAATTAATGTATAAATTCATTGAAATCCTGGTCAAAATCCCAACTGGGATTTCATGGAACTTGGCAGGCTTATCCTGCAACTCTTATGGAAGCATAGATAGGCAAAAAAACAGACAAGAACTGTTTGGTAAATAAGAAGAGTAAAGGAGAGTGTTCCCTACCAGCTGTGGCCTCCTTCTAAAGTGAGAGTAAATAAGGCAGGACCCTCCTTGCACAGCAGTGCAGATCCAGTGAGGCAGAAGAAAGGCCATGTGTGTTTCGTCTACATGAAAATCTAATACGAGATAAAGAAGACACTTAAAGAAAGTGCCAGAAAGAAACTGACCATTCAATAAATAGAACAGGAATTTTGGCTCTCCGTCTTAGCGTTCACAAAAATAAATTCCAGATGAGTTCATTACCTAAGTTTAAAAATAAAAATATTATTTGAATAAAATAAAGGACAAAATATTCATGACTTTGGATTTGAAAGACCTTCTTAAGTACAGAATGCAAAAGCGTAAAAACCAAGCTTTGTAAAATTAATGAAAATTAAGGACTTCTATATGATAGAGGACAATTATTTTAAAAGTCAGAATATAAGCAGTAGACAAGGAGACATTTGCAACATATAAAACGAAGAAACAGAATAAAAGTATTTCTATAATCTATAAGAAAAGCATCAACAATTCCATTGGTAAATCTGTGAATGGTTAAATCATAGAAGAAACAAAATGGCCAATAAATATTTTTTAAATGCTCAACTTCACTAGTAAAAAGAGAAAATGCAAATTACAGCAAGATAGGCTTTTCACTTATTGGATTGACAAAAACTTAAGAGATTGATAATATCAAATATTGCTTAGGATACGGGAAAACAGGTACTGTCATGTACTGTAGGTTCGGAAGCTTTGCAGGTCATTTTCTGTCATCATTTAAAATTAAAAATTGGTATATTGAATTACTGGAACTCTTACCATTGTTGGTGAGAATAAAATAGCCAACAACCATTTTACAAAACTGTGCCATTTGGAAGTTTCTTAAAATGTTAAATGAGCATCTGTCTTAGGACCTAGCAATTTCTCTCTTAAGTATTTATCCAAAGGGAAAATGAAAGCATGCTCATTAAAAGCCATGTATAAAATGTTCTTAACATTTCTAAATAATAGCCCCTATCTGGGAAGAGCTCAAGTGTCCATCAACAGATGAATGGATAAACAAATTATGGTATATCTCTGCAATGGAATACTACTCAGCCATGAGAAGAGAGCAAACTACTGGTATAGGCCACAGCAAGGCTGAATCTCAAAGCACTGTGCTGAGTGAAAGAAGCCACACACAAAGGAGTACACACTATATGATTCCATTGATAGGAGGTTCCAAAGTAGACAGAACTAATATGCGGTGACAGAAACCAAGGCAGTGCTTGATTCTGGGAGCATACTGAGTAGGTAGGTGCATGAGGGAACTTTTCAGGATGCTGAAATTGTTCTTTATCATGAAATGTATGTAAGTTACATGGTGTATACATTTGTCAAAACTGATCAAAGTATTCATTTCACTTTAGTGTGTTATATTTCAATAAAACTAAAGAAATATTTTCATGGAAATGCCCCATGCCCCAGCATTTTCATTTCTCCTGTCAATTCCTTTCCTTTCACTTCTGGTGTCTACCCTAGCAGAGTATTTACAAATGCACACCAGGAAGCACGCTAACAAGGAATTCACTGAAACTTTGTGTAACAGTGAAGTATTGACAGCAACTCAACATCCATCAATATGAGATTATTAAATAGGCTCCAAAATATTGCACTATTAATACTGTATAGCAGCTAGAGCTCTATGTACGGCCATAGGGAGCCCTCTCTGACCTATCATTAGGAGATGAAAGCAGAATGAAATATACAGCATGATGCCAATTTTAGAGGGAAAAATGGTTTCTTTAAGTACATGTCATGTCTATAAAGACATAGAGAAACAACCGGGAGAATGAAACCAGCTGGTAACAGTGTCTCTTCTTGAGGGAGGTACCTGGGATTGGGGGGTGAGAGAGGACTAGAGATATTTGATTGCTTTTTTTTTTTTTTACAGTGAAAACATATTTATGATTTTTTGGTTACACAAGATTTTTAGGTGTTTAAGAGACAATGTTGAATTCTGTTAGATTCCATTCAGAAAATGTACCCACTAGTGTTCTAAAAGAGGTAAAAGCTGGGACTTCCCCTTTTTTTCAGGTTACACAGTACTTGCTTGACAAAGACCTTATCATAGATGAAGATACGCTATATGAGCTGTCACTAAAAATTGAACCTCGACTCCCTGCTTGAAGATCTGGCCTTGCCCCTGAGTCCACGGGATTTTCATGGAAAGCAGGACAGACAGAATTATGTATGCCATGCCTCACACGGTACAGCACGAAGCCAGTCTCCTTTCTCCACCAAAGAAGATGGAACCAGACTGGAATTCTGTCTCCGTTAGAGAGAAACCCAGCTGTTTGGGTCCAAGACAGAGGCTTCAGACTTGGGTGGAAAGGTGAAAAGTGGCTGTGTAGAAAGCTGATGGCGCGTTTTACTTAAGGGAATGTCAGATGGGAGATGCTAGTTGCCATTTTAACAAAGCAGGTAAATCGATAGATTTTAAACTCTGTCCGTGTTCTGTTAGAACTCAGGGACAAGGATCCATGAAAAGGACCTGTGATGTTTCTCTGGCGCTTTACTGGCTTGGACACACCTACCAATCTTCTGGGATTTGACTGGTTCCATTACACTTCCTTTTGGTATAAGCTTCACAGAAAAGCTGACACTTCCTCTGCAGAGAGGGACGAACACATAAGCAATTTCAGTCTACAGCATGCGCATGGTTTTCAGTGCATTATAAATATTTATATATGAGGAATGGTACCTTCTGAAACTGCCTCTCCAGTCTTTAGGCAACAGGATAGGAAAGACAGGATGAAAGACAAATGGATGTGTATGTAACATTTCCTTAAGGAAATGCAGTAGGCTGTACCCCAGAGGATTCCAGACAGTGGCTGGCTGAGGTGGGTGGGGAGCTTTTCCTTGAGACTGTTGGTCGTAAGAAGCCAACCCCCTTGGAGAGGCACTGCAGTTGGCAAAAACATACACACCCGTCTCAACAGCAAAACTGTGGAACAGGCAGAAGGCCACCAAGTGCTGTGGGCAATCATGGGTTTCAGTGCTAAGTGAAAATCTATACCTAAAAATCATCTCTGCGCCTTGCTTTGCTTGTTTTCTTTCCCCGCTCTTAGTACTGCAGGAATCTATTCTCATTTATGCAGACCTTTTTTAGGCTTACTATGAACATTGGCTGTATTTTTTTTAAAACAGTTTGTGAAATTTTCCTTTCAAAACCCACACTTCCATCTGCTGCTGGTAGATATCTTTCTTTAAAAAATGATGTTGAGGGACCTCTGAGTGATAATATTGTAAGAGCATGGGAAATGGGCCCAACCACCGAACAGCTCTTATATTACAAAACCAAATGCGGGCGTTAGTCCTGCTACCTGAGGCTGGGGAATTGACCTTACTTTTCCCAAGATTGTCAGTTGTTGAAGAAATAGGGCTATCTCATTGTTTACCTCCCTCTTCTCTTCTCAGGGAGACTGCTGCTTTAAAAGAAGGAAGAGAAAAAATATAGTTCTATTTCCCTGAACCTATCGCACCTGACGTTTTCTCTTAGCGGCATGAAACTTATTGATGCTGACAATGAAAAATCGATCTGTCTGGCTGTTTTCCCTCTTTCCTTGCACTTTAATTATGTTGCTAGAGCTAACAGCTGACTAATAAATTCCACCTGCTGGCTCCTAAGACCCAGTGGAAGAGCTAGCATGGGTAATATACCACAGAGGTAGAGAATGTACATCTTCTGCATGGTAAGCGCCATCTCTGTACATAACTATATAGCAAAATGTCAACTAAGTAAAAGAAAATATTTATAATATTTGAAGACCATTCCAAAAATATTTTTAATAGTTCATATTAGCCAACAGTGTAGCACTCAACCCAAGGAGGGTTCCTTATGGATGCTTTCTTTTTCTTTTTTCTTTTTTTAAAGTTGCTTGTTTGTTCTCTTTAGTTTCAAATAAGAGGTTGACACATCTTGATGCATGATGAGAAGCATGGGCTGTTTGGATCCTAACAACGCGTAACTTGTGATTTATTTCTCAGTGCTCAGAAACTGAGGGTTTGACATAATATGTATCAGTTGCACCAAACACCTCAAGGTCTTGCAGAAGAAAAGTAAAGGTTAGTTTTCTTGGCTCAAATGTGAAGTCCTGAAAGGTGAACTAAAACCAGGACAAATCTGTGAGAAGCCCACACACATATTAGTTTCACGCCAAACAACACGTGGAAAGGTCGATGCGTTCTACTCTGCCTTGGAGTTGCCAGAGTCCTTCAGAGGGAAAGGGATGGTTCTGCGTGTGCTTTCCCTGAAAGTTTGGACTCATTTCTTTGACCCAAATGTTCCAGAGACACTGCAGCCATTCTTGTCAAAGCAAAATAAGATAGGAGTTTCCAAATGCTCCTTCCCTTTGGGACCACAGCTTTTCTTCAACTAGTGACAAAGCTTTTGCACCTGTGTCCTGCAGGATGTTGGAACTGTGTCGCGGTGGTCATATTAGGCACTGTCAATTGCTATGCTGCCTTTTAGGGAGTTTTTGTTTCTTTGAAAAACAGGGTCTCACTATGTTGCTCAGGCTGGCCTCGAGCTTCTGGACTCAAGCAATCTTCCTGCCTCGGCCTCTCAAGTAGCTGGGACTGCAGGGGCGCGCCACTCGCCAGCCCTTTGCATTTTCGTTTGAGAATTACACCACTTCCTGGAGTCTGCCGCCTTCCTGGAGCTGCAAGAGAGCAAGAGAGATCGTTCCACCTCTGAGGGGGTGACTTTTGATGACCTGCACTGTTCTTGGGCCAGCTGGGATAGGAATGCACATTTTTAAATACCTTCAATTTGGTCAAATTAAAAATCCCCAAGAGCAATTTGCAGTGTGTTTTCCTGATCGTTAAAGTAGCCATCCCCTTCTGCCTACACACAAAGCATGTATTCCCAGCTGCGTCTGCCTCTATTCCATTATGGAGACCCATTTCGAAGAGGAGATGGGAGCTCAGCCTCTAACAGCCAAGTAGCGAACATGTATACCCTAAAATTAACCTAGAAAATTCGAAGTAGAATCCAATTTGATGCTTTCGAAAGACTGCCCACATTTTGTACTGTCAACGGAATTATCTTGGGGCTTTTAGGGGATGCCTTTGGTTATTAACTAAGACATGTAGTTTTGCTACAGGGACAAATCTCTTATCTAATCTAATGCATTATTTGACAGATTCAGGCATAAAGTGAAACGTTGTCACTTTTCCTTAGTGTTTTTCTGAAGGAATTTAAAAAGGGAATTTTAAATGGCCGTTGCAATATTTTCAAGTGGCTCTCACACAAAGTCCCATTACTGTTTGTTAAATTTCAGTACGTCTTAAAGTACTGCTTATAAACAAATGAAACTCAGAGAAACTGAATCACTTGGAAGAGAAAAATCCATTATGGTCCCACGTGGATCGAATAATGATGGATCAGCGCCCTTTCTCTCATATTATTGTATCAGACGAGACCTTGGCCCAGCAGCGATTAGGCAGCTTTTAAATTCTTAACTAAAAAGAATAATGCAATACAGACATTATTCCCAATAAAATTAATTTTGATTTAAAAGCCAGACATTTTACTTAGCTTTTTTTTTTTCAAAGTTTGATATTATCCCCTTAAAAAAAAGTCTTCACTTTAAAGTATAAAGGTTTTAAAAACTGCAACTGCAAAATGTATTATTTTCACTACTATTGAAATGGCATAAAAGAACATACTATTTATGGCTGAAGGACATAGCCAGGCTAATGTCCACAGCCAGAGGGAATTAATGAATAAAAGTCATTTTCATTTCAGTAAGAAATCAGATTGTAAGTTTAAATAGTGACTCAATTATAGACACCACTATGTAATTCCTGGGAAGAGGACTTGAGTCAATGAAATCTAATCAGTGTGTCATTTCTCAGCAGCCAGTGGTGACTTAAAATTAAGACGAGGCAGAACCAAAATGGGAAACAGTCATTTTGTTGTAGGTATAAACACATGAATGATTGAGAAAATTATTCATCTCAGCTGCCATGCAGCATGACACTAACATTAGAACTGATTGTACTTCATCTGCTCTGCTCAAGGAAAAGAATAGTTCTATTATACTTAATGATGTTGTTTTTTACACAACACATTTCATTTTTCATTAGAAAGCCAGTTATGAAAGAGAGCTGGCCTAGGCATCCCAGCCCTGAGTCTTAGGCCCAGTCTCCCCCTGGAAAACCTTAGGCTGGTGTTTACACATCTCTGAGCCTCAGTTTCCTCATCTGCAAAATGGTGTGAATGAATAGTAATCCCTGTGCTGCTTACCTCACGGGGCTATTGTGAGGACCAAATGGATTAGACTGTAAACTGTAAAGTGCTGTCCACATGTGAGGTAATCTGATTACTATCCTCAGCTCTCTTTTGTAGAGGATTTCAATGTATTTCTTTATCATTTGAGTATGTGTGCCATGGACAAATATGTGTATTAGTTTGAGAAGCATATCATTCGTGTCCAGTTACTTTGCAAATCTGTGGGCCTTTGGGATTGGACAGAGGGGTTTGTGCTGTGGCCTAACACTTGCCAGGGGAGGTGTAGGTTGTGCCTATATGCAAATTAAACTTCACGTTTCTTGAATATTCAGAAATCTCATTGGCTGTTTCACTTAACTCTCCCCCCTCCCCATTTTCTACATTGTCTTTGTCAACTTAAAACCATGAAATGTATACATTTTGAAAAAATAGAACTTTATTTCTTATATAAGGGTTACAGTCTGCAGGCTGGAGCCTCTGGCCAAAGCCAAAAGCAAGCACTTTAGAGACAAAAGGGAGAGGCTGAGATTTATGCCCAACGAGATGGGCCGTACATATACATTAGGTAGATTATAGGATAATCTTATGAATATTTATGAGAGGTCCTAATGCATGCATAGTCAGTAATCGTATATGTTACATACAACCCATGTTCATTTTGGGATGGAGACTTAACATTAAAATGTAGTAAAATTGGGCTGTATACGTCAAGAGATGAAACACGGGACACAAAGACGTTTAGTGTGCAGTCTGTAAAGCAGCCAGGGCCGGCTGTGTCCGTGGTCAGTTACGAGGATGGAATGCCTTGTGAGGCTGATTACTTGTCATGGGGAAACTGCGCTGAGGAAACGGGGGTTCGTCACAACATCAGGTTGCCTGTTGAAGTTGAGGAAGAAATCCTTCAGACATAGTTTTTCAGCAACTGGTTTTCGTTTCATTGTTGGAAAGTCTTGAGGCAGTTACCCAGGTGGGGGAACGCTGGGTGTGGCTGACCTCTTCCCTTGCCAGAGCTGTAGAATCTGGTTTTTAACGTTTTCTGGGGTCTCTTTTACCACAATGAGTCTGTTTTGTTTTGTTTTGCTTAGGGGGCTTATTTTTATTTTGCATCTTCTTCATAGCAGTGAGCTCCTTGAAATATTTTATTTCTAAATATTACTTCCAAAGTTCAGGGAGAAAAACAGTTTAGAAGAGGCCCTAAAATATCAAAGAATTTGGGGAAAGCTTTGAAATGATACAAAGGATCAGCTAATCACACTTTCTTTCCAGTGCTTAGATTCTTCCTGTGACATCCCCAGCCCATATTTGATTACCTCCAGGCACGGAGAACTCAGTACTACCCGGAACAGCTCAGTCCATCACACAGCAGCTCATTGCTCCTGAATGGGCTGTGGAGATGAGAGAAGCTGCTGGGGTGGAGTCCTGGCCCAGCAGTCACTAGGTGCCACCCAGGAGGGGCTTCTGAAATAAGACTCCTGTCTACCCTTAAAATCACTGCAGTAACATATAGATTACTATATATTAAAATACTTTGAACTTTTACGAGGTTGTGCTAACATTTAGAATTGATGGAATTAAGTTACGCTTGCTGGACTCAAGAATAGACGTAAGGAAAGGGTTAAAGGGGCTCCTCCTGCCCAATTCCGAAACGAGCAATCCAGGCTGGTGGGACCCAGGTTCCTTTCATCCTATTGCTTGCTCATCCCACAAGGCATTGTCCTTGCCTACGAGGTCAAATCTGGGGCCTGTTCTAGCCACACTCCTGCTGGACTCAGGAACAGAAAAGAGTAAGTCCAGGACATTTTCCTTTAAAGCAGATGATACGGCAATCATACACTTCAATTCTGTTCCTGCCCCTATGGCAGAAGCCAGCCACAGGGCAGCCTGGTGTGGCTCGAGCCCCAGAGCTTCAGAGGGAGTTGGTAATGACAAGAGGGGAATGGATGGCATGTGACAGGGATGGCATTTGAAGGATTTCCAGAAATCCAGAATTGCCACTGTGAGAACCTTGTAGAGATTTCAGCCCCATCACACCACCTTTGTAATAAGCTTGAAGAGGTCCAGGTCCCCAAAGGAAGAGTGGTACCCTCTCTTTTCTCAACAAGGACCCAACTTTTCTTCTGACCTTACTCACTAACCTATACATTTATGCTGTAAAATATAAGGTGTTGAGTTAGGGTGAGTGGAGGGGGCCCTAAATGTTGATTAGGCAATTGGGGAGGAAAAGGAGGTTTTTGCTATAGCTGCCATTCTTGAAATCTACAATTCCATGCTCTTCAAAAGCCTTATGGTTTTCTGGATCTGGGAGAGGGGCTATTTCAGGGTCGCTGGATTTATTTCACTTGGTTCCTGAACTGACTTGAAACACATATGTGTACAAAAGAGCTATTTTCAGCAGGAATAAACCCAGACCACCCTGATGACAGAATATGCACACTGGTAGGTCTTGACTCATTAAAGAATTATGAAATCCATTTGGTTGGTCCCTATCTATACTGTATATAACCACTTCAGCCAGGAACCTTTCCATCCTGCCAAAAGGCCCCCTCATGTGCTCCCCCAATCAGTACCCCATGCAAAGGTAAAATAGGTGATATTTTAAAATATGGGTCGTGTTTAAAAGAAATGGAAACTCTGAAGGAGAAGCACACTGGGTAAAAGGTTACTCCTGGGGCTCCACCCCCTGCTCCATCAAGTCCTCTGAGCCTGAGCTGGGCTCTGAGAAGGAAGAGACAGGAACCAGCTGGTCATGTCCACGTGGCCTCAGAAGCTGAGTACGTGACGGTCACCAGATACCTAGGTAGGCTCCCTTGAAATGGCAGGGCTGCTGTCCAAAATCCTGCTGGGTCATTGCTATTTACAGGCAGCCTTCCTGGCGTGCAATGGATATCCCAGGCAGGGCTATTTTTAAGCAGGGCTATGGCCTGCCGTGGGTTAAGCTGGTGTGGACAGAAAGCGAGATGATCTAGCCGTCTACTGCAGATGGCCTGATCTTGCAGAGAAATGTGACTGTAATTGTCCCTGGATCCCGGCCCCAGACAGAGATGCTGGAAGGAGGTCCCTCCGGCCCCTGGCTCAGGGACCGGTCAGCTGCTGGAGCCAGGCAGCTTGAGACATCCTCCTCTCTGACCTTGGCTTGAGGGGTTCATCCTCCAGAGCTCACCAGGACCCGAAGGCTGGTACACCTGAGAGAAGAGAGAAATCCCCCAACAGATGTGCAGTTTCTCCTGCTGACTCTTCCATTCTGAGACCCAACCACCACTCTTAGAGCACTGGCAGAGGAGCCTCCAGGACCAGGCCTGCGGAGCAAGACTGGCCGTTTACGTTTCAGAGAAAGGGCAGGTGCTGCAAAGGGCCTAGCGCTCAGGGGCCTGCCTTCAAGGGTACAGCTGTGGGGCCGGTGCAAAGGGAGGTCTGCGCTGGGATTGGCGAGGTCCTCTAGCCCCGCCCCGCCAGGGAGGCTTTTCCACGCCGGCCGGCCGGCTCCCCCAATACTTCTTGGCTGTGTGGGCTCTGCAGGACGTGGGAGAATCCGGCGTCAAGGTCGGTGAGTCCGTGAAGCTCTGTTCTATTCCTCCAAAGAGGCGGCATGGCTAGAGCCAGTGTGAGGGGCCTTGGCGGAGTGGATGCAGGGTTGTGGCCCGGGACCACGTTAGGACGCTGATTGCGAGGAGGCAGCGGTGACTCGCTAAAGCCCGCAGAGCGCTGCCCTTGGCCGAAGGTCCCCTCCTCCCCGGGTTGGGGCAACTCAGCCCGAGGAGCAGAACAAATCAGCACGCTACCTGCAGGGCCTCTTTTTGTCGTGAATCAGGAATTTTTCTTGATGGACAAAAAGACAAAAAATCTAAAGGCTGTATTTTGACACTAAGTTTGGGATAACTTTAAACTTCAAATATCTTCCCCTTGTAATTTACAGAGTCTAATCCACTCATTTCCGGGAATGTTTTTCCCCAGCAGTCTCAGTCTCAAAAGACATGTAAATCAGCGACGGGATGAACTAACTAGAAAATTAAAATTTTGGTGACGCTAATTACTAATAAGCCCAATAGCCAGGCCCAGTTTTAACTGGCAAATAATATTGCTAGAGATTCAGTTTTGCCGTCATTAATATTTACCCATTGATAATGAGCCAAGTAAGTGTCTCCCCTCCCCCCATCCTTACCTTTCCCACCGGAGGTTAATTAACAACCAAAACCCTGTGGAATTGGCCCCATGCGTTTCATCTGGGCAGGAGCCTGTTCCTTGCTAGCTTGCTGGGTTGTCCCGGGTTACAGTCAATCCTGTTGAGTGGTCTGCTTTCAAATGCTCTCCTCCGAATCTGAGAAAGAGTGACATTTGACAAACAGACCAAAACCTTTAGGTCTCCTCCATGCTGCCCTTTAGATCTTCTAGAGAGTGTCGCCAGACTCAGTGACCCCTCAGTGTCAGCTGGAGTCAAGTGAGGGGCAGTTAGTGCCTCAGGACAAGGTTACGCTAGACACCTGTGCGCTGTTTCCAGAAGGGCTGCTTTTCCTGTCTGTAGCCCTCACGGTTTCACCATTCTGAACTCGTGTCCTTGGTCTCTCTGTCTTCTCGTGGAAGCGAGCACGGCCACAAAATGTGGCCACAGGTTTCCTGACAGGTGGGCTCCTCCAGGAGGCTCTGGGCCTTGTTTGGCAGTTTGAGCACTTCACTTCCTCTGCATTGAGAGGCACCTTTTCCAAAGACCCCAGACTTTGGAGTTAATCACACCTGAGGGTTAAGGCACTGTCCCAGCAGAGCACAGGAGTGCCACAGGCACCCCATGGACTCTGCTGGCCTCGTGACCAAATCACATCCTTCAGAAATGGGCCTAGCCAGGTCGGCTTTCCTTAGGAAACCGTGGGTTATGTGTGTGTGTGTCGCTGGGCCGAGGGCAATACAGAACGGGGAATCCTGAGGTTTCGGACACATGGTGGGGACTGACTTTGCCCCTAGCTCAGAGGCCCCGGGCCCCCATCTCTGCCATCACCTAGAGCAGGCTCCATTTGTCTTCCCAGAGGAAGCCTCATAGAGCCTGCGTTGAGCATTCTGGGAGCTCCTGCCCACAGAGCCAGGAATCCAGCAGGAAGCCATGCTGAAGGTGACTGCTGGAGGTCATACGCACCCCTGCCTGGGAAGCCTCAGAGACTCCTCCGTGGGCAGGGAGGAAGGCAGCCCGCTTCACAGCACTTCAGTGGACTAGATGGCTCCTAGCTTCCCATTTTCTTGAAAAAAAAAATTTACCCTTGAGGTACAAGTCTGGTAACAATCCCATATCTTCATCACAGGAGGCCTAGGAAAGGCCTCTGTCTTACCGAGTAGGATTCTAAGCAT